ATGCCCATCAACAACAGAGTGTGAGAATGGACAAACTGTAGTATAGTCACACAAGGGAACAAACCATGCCTAGATGCAACTGTATGGATAAATTTCACAAACATAATGACAGAGCAAAAAAGTTAGACAAAAAAGAGTTCATATTGTATGATTCCATTTATGTAAAGTTCAAAATCAAATAGACAATCTACGGTGTTAAAAAGTCAGGATAGTGATTATTCTTCAGAGGGGTAGTTACTGAAAAGGGGCAGTGAAGGGGAGGAGGGCTTCTGAAATGCAGAAAATGTTCTGTCTGTTTTTTTAAATCTGGGTGCTCGTTTCCTTACTATGTTGATTTTTTAAAAAATCATCAAGTTTTACATTAATTTTTTCACATTTTCTTTTATTCTATAAAAGTTACTTATAAAAAGTTACTTTAAAAAGTGCAGTGTTTATTAGCCAGGCATGGTGGCACATGCCTGTGGTCCCAGCTATTCAGGAGGCTGAGGCAGGAGGATCACTTGAGGCTAGGAGTTTGAGGTTGCTGTGAGCTATGATGACACCTCTGCATTCTAGCCAAGGTGACAGAGCGTGTTTTATTCTTGGTGGGTTAATAGTATAATATTTACACTATGAATGTTAATACTGTTAGCCTTTTTCTTATCTTGCCAAACAGATAAAGGTAGACAATAAAACATAGCTTTGTTTTTTAAAAATGATTTTCTTTTCAATTATTGACTAAAAGAATCTACAGAGAGTTTCACTCATCATAGTATAAGAAAATGTATTTTTAAACTCTAGTTTCAAACCCTCTTGCCATCCATCATCCTGGAATTAACCCTAGTCATAGTATATTCAAGTTTAAGCAAACATTTAAAATAAAACTATTAATAACTAGCAGTTGTTACTCAGGCTGCATTATCAAAGTCTATAAAATTCTTCCCTGTTCTGCTAAATTAACTTCATATTCTTAACCTCAGAATGAATGAAGAAATCCTTAAAAGCATATAGCTTAGGAAAGTATGACATGATGATGTACCCAAACTCAATGTCTTTCATTTCCACTTTGCAATAAGATCTTTGAGTAAAATACTTTGCAGACCAATTTATTTTTGGTCAGAATGATAAACTTTGAAAAATCAACATTTTTTCCATCTGAGAATTTCCAGCCTTCCTTTTGTAACTCAACAATAATGCATAACCATCAAGATTTGAATTGTTTCCTTTAAAAGAGAGAATATGACAAAAACAAACAACTATGGATGATCTATTTAAGACTATGTTGCCATTTCTGTTCTTAGAATATTTCGATCGCATATGAAAGAATAGCTTTAGATATAAATATTTTGTTAACTGCAAGAAGAAAAGGGGCAGAGAAAAAACACAGACAGGTAGGAAGTAAAAGTTTATTCAAAAATTTCCTTTGTAAAATAATCCTTGACAAAGATGAGTTAGTGGAAAGAA